TGTTCACACCCTCACACGGCCACAGGCTCTCCCTGCCCTTATCACTGAGCTTAATGGCTTTATAAACTGTCGCCTCAGTCCTATCTGCTACTTGACAGGAGCTCCACTGCGGCCCTGAGAGCAACAAGAATTGAAATTTATTCTTCTTGCTTTAATCCTCTCTCGCGGTTCTTTCTTTCTTTTTTCTGTTAATCCACCAAAAAAAAAAAAAAAAAAAAAAGAGAACTATAATCTGAAAAAAAAAAAAATAGAAGAAAATAACCAAAAGAAGGTTGTGAGTTGGCGTGAGGCTCTTGCATCAGTCAAGGTCCAGACAGAAATATCAGAGGCCCTTCAACACCTCCATGTCCGAGACACCTCGGATTTAATTCTAGGTGAGCGCTTAAATCTTGTTGAAGTTAAGAAGGTTTAAGGCAGAAAATCAGAAAACACAAATGCCTGAGCTGGGCACCTTGGCTTGGGGCTTCTGGCCATAACACTCAGGAGATTTATAATAAAGGACAGCAATCGAGGTGCTCATTTTGTGAGCTTTCACTTGCATAAAATAACTCCAAATTTTCACTCAGCCCCTATAAACTCTCATTTATAAACGGCTAACAGGGAGAGATTTCAACAGAAGCTTTGATACAATGATTAAAGAAGCCATGATAATATGACTGATAGACTGATAGATTGATAGTTACAGCAAAGGCATTATCCATCCCATGGATCAGACTCTATCATTTCCTCTATGACACGTTTCGAAGTGTAATTCATCAGAAGCTTTCCTGATAACCACCACTCTCCTGTGAAACCCCACTTACCCAAACAATCTGGCAATAGCCGACCTAAAAGTCCATTTTTTTATGGAATTTCCCCCCTCCCTTATCGAACTGCTCTGTGCCCAAATACCCCCCTCGGAGGGCTGCCGTTCTTTAAAGGCTCATTTCCTACCGTGGGGCAGGAGATGCTGCTGAGGCAGATAACGATCTGCAAAAAAAACCCCGAGCTGTTCAAAAGGAAATTGCAAAATAAGACCCAAATCCAACTATCAGTGGCGGGCAGGCTCTTTGCTGAGATGGGTATGGCGAGATCGAAGCGCCGATAGGCGAACGCGTCTCGAAATCTCTGTTTGGAGAGAGCAGCCAGCCAGAGCCTGGCAGCACATGTACTTTTTTGGTCTATCAGGTAATTTCTGTGGGCCTCCCGCCCTCCAGTCCCCCTTCCACCAGGACATGAACCCTTTCTCAAGGAAGATGCTGTGTTGGAATCAAGGCTTGCAAAGAGCTGCTCCTCGGCCCGATTGCCGAGAGGTCAACGCAAGACGCCTCCGCTCCATCTGGAGGTAAGAAAAACCACCAGAATGCCTCAAATTGTTTTAGTGCCGTCAGAGTCAGGCCTTGCTTTGGCCCAGTTTAAGGCCAAAGCTCAGCCTGGCAGTGGCACCCTCGGATGTGGACACCCAGCCCAGCTCTCCTCCTGCTGTTCCACCCCTCTGCTCTCCGAGCGTCGCATCCAGCGCCCGGCAGAGCGCGATACCCAGCGGCGATTTACCTAGGAGAGAGGAGCTTTCCACACCTCTTTCCTGCAGGACTGGGGCAGCTGGAGCCTTGGAGGCAGCAGGATCTAATGATGTCTTGGCAGCATTTTTGGCGCAGCCGCAGGGTCCGGCAGCTCAGAGCGCTCGCCGGTTCGGCGCCGGATGCGGTCACGCTCTGCCCCCTTGGCGATGGCAGCAACGAGCCCACATGAGGTTCCATGACGTCTCCCCCCTGTCAACTGCCTCATTTAAATATATTTGGGTGTTTCTCTGCTGTTCTGCAACCACTTTGGGACCCTGCACGGCTTGACCGGTTCAGCATCTTGCTCCGCCTTCCAGCAGGTTTGGGCTAAAATGCAGCTGAGCTTCCTTGGAGCAAAGCAGTCCCGAGGGCAGGGAGCCAGCTGCAGTCCCCAGCAACTCAGCTGCCACCCAAAAAGTGCTCTGGGTGCTTCCAGGTAAACAACTTCCACAGGGATAAAATATATTACCTCATAGGGGATGTGGTCCCAGCACCTTGCACGGCTCCGTGTCTGCTGAGGGTGGATGGGCCTCCACCTGCCCATGCTCTGGAAAGTTTTCTGGTTCAGTAACAACTTGCAGCATCACTTAATAATGGTGGGGTGCAAGCAGCAGCCTGGCAGACCCCTCTTGATGGTTCCCAGCAGATCTGGGGAGGGCTGGGCCACTGCTCCATAGGAACTCATGCTGAGCCAGAGTTCAGGTGCTGGAAATTCCCTGCAGCAGCCTGGCCTCTCTTGGTTTTTTTCCCTGGAAGGAGACAGGTCAGGAACCCTTTTTGCAAAGTCCCTAATCATGGGGATGGTGCCTGCTGGCATTTCAACATCTCCATCACCCCCACAGCAACCTTCTCCCAAGGAGATAACATCCCAACACCCCAGTGAATCCCCTGGACTTTCTAAAGGTAAAGAGAAGAACAGATCCCAGGAAGAACTACGTACCCCAAGACCTGTCAGGGTCCACACCCAGGAGCTGCACCACAAATTGGTGTCCCCCAGCACGGGTTAGTCATTTCCCACATTCCCCCTCCTCCCCTGGGACCGCAGGATCATCATCTCCATCACCAGGAGGTGTTAGTCCTGCTCTACCCACAACTGCTTTGCCACAGGTAAATATTTAACTGAAACTTGCTTGTTTGTTGGCGTGTTTTTTTTTTTTTTTTTTTTTAAGTGAGTGTTTGCTATTGCAGCATTTCTCTCTTTCAAGTGCTGGGTGACCGATAAACAGATTAACAGGTGGGAGAAGTGTCTGATAAACGCAGGGGGGAAAAAAAAGGCTTTTTTAGAACACACGATTTGAATCAGCCAGAGCTCGTCGTGGAAGTGGCTGCACTAAAGGAAATGCATAAAAAGGAACACAGATAACATATTTTTAGCCTCAAAGCAGGTTTCTCACACGAGGAAAGCTCCGTACACCGAGGTGAGTTTTCCACCCAAGGTGCAAAATGTATTTCTGAGGTACCTGAGGGCAGGTATGTGCAAGCTGAGAGGGTGAGACACACCTTGGGACAGCCCCTGCCTGGCAGCAGTGAAGGGCTGCATAGATGCTACTTTCTCTGCTGTATTCCACATATTGAGGTATAGCTGAAAGTGTGCACGAAGCAAAGCCTTTTTTGTCCCAGTTTTCTGGGCAAATGTGGCCGAGCTGCTCCCAAAAGACAGAAAAAACCCACCCCATTTTGCTCCACTTGAAACAAAAATGTTGATGCACCTTGGAGAATTTAGCTTTTAAAATTCCTTCCCAAATAGCTAAAAAGTAGAAATAATTTTGCTTAACTTCAAGAATTTCTAAATGCAAGCTTTGGCCTCTTTATTCCTTTCATCTTCATATTTTAATGCTGAATCCACTGTTACGAGTTTGCAGATTATGATGATCCAATTGGGGAACCTTTTGAACAAAATAAACTATTTCACTGAAAGTATTTGGCGTGTCTGTGCTACAGCTCACCCTCACGTTTATCTCTGAAGCCCAGTGACCCTTCAGGCTGGGTTTTCTGACAGGATTTTCAGGTTATAAACCATGTCTGGAACAATCCACTTGCTGCTTTCAGCTGATCTGGCACTTGCTGCAGCAGCTTTTGTTTTAGGAAGTTTCTTTTTAATCCCTGAATATGTGATTAGGATGAGAGGGGAAATACATTAAATACATAAAGTACATTAAACTGCATCTTAAAAGGGAAATACATAATAAGTTGGGGTAAAGCTACTCAATAAAGAAAATACTGCAGCCACCAATCTGGGCACAGGGAAATGCAGGGAATTTTCATTTGACTGGGAAAAATATGTCAGCATCTGCCATCAGCATCCACTCTGCCTTGCCTTGCATGTCCCTGCTTATACCAAAAAATGTGATAGATTTTTTAAGCCTAAACTCCCTGCAAAGCTGTGGAGAGAAGGAGCTTTGTGGCATCTCCCAGGGGCAGAGACACAACTCCCCCCAAACAGGAGACACAACTTGGCTCCCTCGCAGCCTCATTGGTACCTGGGCCTCACAGGTGACGACTTTAATTTCCTGGGTGAGGGCTTTATTTAGATAAACCAGACTGACTGGGATAAGGAAAAAATTGATTAGCACCGTGCTAAGGGTAGAAACCCCGTAAATGAGTAAAACACCTGAGTAAAACACCCCCTTTTTGTGGCACCCACCGTTAGTGCCATAAACATGGAAAACAAGGACAGCACGGCATCATCCCTGGCCTGAGAGATGGTGGCAGCAAGAAAACCCTTTCCTCCCCCCACTTCACTTCCCCACTCGCCAGCCCTGGTATCTGAAGGCTTTATTTGTTCATCAGCATTTTCTATTTGCACTCAGAGGCTTTAATGAGACGCCCGTCCTGGGTTAAACAAAACTCCCAGGGGACGAGCCCATTAGTGGCTGGAAAGCAACAGGGAACTGTCTCCCATGAAAAGCCGCTTCTTCCTGGCACAGACTGCTGTTTAAAAGGGAAAGCAGGAGATTCCAGAGCAGTTCATCACTGCTAATTAGTGTTTTCTTTCTAGTTTGGTGGCTGCCCTGATGCTACATGCACTGCACTGCATCCTTTTCCTGCGTTTCCCAGCAGCTGCCGGGGTTGGGGGCACCCCACGGCCACGGGCAGGTCCTTGGGGTGGGGTTGTGGGGCAAAGGGAAGGGGAAACACTCCCCCAGAGCATTTTGGAGGGACTTCCACCGGCTGTGTGATTACCAGCGGACAGGGACTGGTGTTGGGATGAGCGCTCCCGCTGCGGGAGACCTTCCCTGCCCCAACAGCAGCCAGCCCAGCTCCCTGCAGGTCCCCCCACGCCTCCCTCACCCACAAAAGCAAACCTGACCCCACGGTGCCCGCTCTGCCTCGCCTGGGACGTGGGCAGTGATTCACTGCCGGTGCCCGAGTGTTGACTCTGGCAGGGGCGTTATCGCGGGCGGCCCTGTGGGTATAAGAACAGCCTGCGGAGCCCGGCGAGGCCACTGAGCCGCCAGCATGAAGAGCCTCCTCCTCCTCCTCCTCCTCCTCGCCGTGCTCTGCCTCTCCCTGGCCAGCGGCCTGAAAAGGTAAGGGGGTCCCCGAGCTGCCCCCCAGTTCCCCCGGGCTCTCGGAGGGGCTTTGCTCTTTGGGTGCTGCCAGAGCCGCGATGAGCAGGCAGAGCTGAGCTCCCCCCTGGCACAGACACCTTGGTTGCCAACACCAGTGTCGGCACTACACTGTGGTTTCTGGTTTCTCACATCACTCCGAGGGCTCCATCCCCCTGGGCAGACCCCAGGAGCAGTGGGATGAGGTGGGGTCTGTAAAGAGAGTCTGTGCGAGCAGACAGGCTATGAATTCCCCTTGGCCCTGCTCACCTCCCCCAGCCTGAAGGCCCTTTCCATCAGTCACGTTGAGCTCCTGCCTGTCCCATCGCTGCCAGGACACGTACCCTCCCCTGCCAGCTTTGCCCTGGATTTGCTGCCTCCTAAAACAGACCGAGTGCCCCCGTTTCACCTCAGCTGGAAGGTTCTGCACTGGGGGATGTGGGGAAACGTGCTCTGGAACTGCATCCTGGCTCTGCTGGGACCCTCAGGGTGGGCACGGGGGCTGCAGGACTCCAGCAGCACCCAGGGCCTTGTGTGAGTGACCAGGACCCTTCTCCCCCAGGGTGCCCCTGATGAGGCGCCGCTCCCTGCGGAAGCTGCTGCGGGAGCGTGGGCAGCTCTCCCACTTCTGGAAAGCCCACGGGCTGGACACGGCGCAGGACAGCGAGGACTGCGCTGCCTTCTCGGACACCAGCGAGCCCCTCATCAACTACCTGGATGTAAGCAGGGCACATGAGTTCGCCTGAGCAGTTCCCCAGTGCTTCCCAGAAATCCCGTGCCTGCGGCCGTGCCCGGCGTGCCAGGGCTCGCTGCCTGCCCGTGCCCGCCTGGCCTTTTGTTCCCGGGAAAGTGGCGATGAGGACAAGGCAGAGCATTCACGGCAGGCACTGCCAGCCCTCTCCCTCCCTGCTGCATTCCCCCCACCCCTAAGGAGACAAAAACTAACACACTCATCAGAACAAGTCCCACCACAAAGGATCCAGAAGTGCAGGGGCTTCCCCAGGCTCATCCCATTCCCCAGCAGAGCCCCAGCAGCCCCTTCCACTCTCTGCATCCTGGTGATGAGGGTCTCCTCAGGGCCCAGCCTTCCCAGGAAGAGGATGGAGCCTGGACCCACCATCCTGCCTTTTGTTCTCAGCTTCCCTTTGTTGCTCCTTAAATATTTGTCTCCTTCATTTCACCTGTCACGATGTGACCCTGATAGAACCCCCTCCATGCCCTGTGGACACCCCAGCACAGGCTCCCCTTGGCCAGAGTTTGTTGGTATGCTGACAGCTCACGGTGGTCCGTGCTCCACTCTTTGCCAGATGGAGTATTTTGGGCAGATCTCCATCGGAACTCCCCCCCAGAACTTCACTGTGGTGTTCGACACGGGCTCCTCCAACCTCTGGGTACCGTCCATCTACTGCGTCAGCAAAGCCTGTGGTGAGTGCAGCCTGACCAGTGAGGCCACGGGGTCACAGCACACCCAGCCTGAGACCTTGGGGGACTCTCCCCACCCAGCTGAGCCCTGCAAGGCACACACAGATAACAGAAACCCGGGGGGCAGGCGGGCGAACACCAGTGGGTGTGTCTGTCCGGGAGTGGGTGGTGATCACACCACCAGGTGACACTGGCCATGTTCTTGTGGGAACCTTTAAACAAACAGGCGAAGATGACAGCCCAGAATGTGGCTTGTCAGCAAGGGGCAGGGTGGCAGGAGGGCACAGCTCTGGGCTGGCTGTCCGGGGGCTCGGTGGGTGACAAGCACTGGGCTTGTTCGGGCTGTCAGCGATGAGCCAGTCCTGCTGCCGTGGGACATGGAGCGTCTCTGAACAGCCCCAGGGCTGCCCCAGAGCCTGGGGGGAATTGGGGAATATAACTGGATACCACAGTGCCTGTGGGGCTGCTCCTGGCTGCAAACCAGGAATAGCAGTGCTTGTCCTCGAGACTCATAAAAACACCACACGAGCTAATCCCACTCCTCTAACAACCCTGCCACCTTTCAGTCAGATCAAAATGGCATAAGTTTTATCCCTCCTCAAAACTCCAGCATGACCCTTGGCAGCGTGCCGGTGACCAGGAGCTTCGGTGACACCACCCTCCATCATCATTTGTCTCCAATGGCCATGGCGGGGGCTCCCGGCAGCCGTGGCCATGCAAAAAAAAAATAACATTTCTGCTGACAGATCCCATCTCTTTCCCCAGCTGGACACGCCAGGTTCCAACCAACACAGTCCAGCACCTACCAGGTGATAGGGACCCCCTTCTCCATCCAGTACGGGACCGGCAGTCTGACCGGGCTCATTGGATCTGACCAAGTAACCGTGAGTCACCTTTGGCCTCTCCTGCTCTGGACGATGTGTCTGGCACTTGCCCACGGACTCAGCCCCCCCACGGAACCCCCTCCTCCCTGCAGGTCGAGGGGCTCGCCGTGAGCAACCAGCAGTTTGCAGAGAGCATCAGCGAGCCGGGAAAAGCCTTCCTGGACGCCGAGTTCGACGGGATCCTGGGGCTGGCTTACCCCTCGCTGGCCGTGGACGGGGTCACTCCCGTCTTTGACAACATGATGGCACAAAACCTGGTGGAGCTGCCCCTGTTCTCCGTCTACATGAGCACGTACGGACACAGCCTTGCTCTGGGATGCTGCTTAGAGTCTGTCATTGCTTGGGGGAACAGGAGGGGCTGCTAAAATATAGATATTTTATTGAGATAGTGAAGGGGGTTTGGTGCCAGGCTGAGCATCACAGACCTGTGGCCTTACAGGAATAGCATTTGTGGGAAGCAGGCAGGGGGCAATCCGCCCATTTAAAATGTTATTTGCAAAGTCAACGGGAAAAAATGCCTCATGGCTTTTCCTCCTCCCTCCAGGAACCCCGAATCCCCCCTGGGAGGAGAGCTGCTTTTTGGGGGTTTTGACACTTCCCGCTTCACGGGGACCCTGAACTGGGTGCCAGTGACCCAGCAAGGGTACTGGCAGATCCAGCTGGACAAGTGAGTGGTGCTGGACAGGGAGGGAAGGCTGGGCTGGGGTGGAGGAGCAGGACAAATCCCTCCTGGTCCTTCTCCCTCGCCTCTTCCAGCATCCAGGTGGGTGGGACAGTGGCTTTCTGTGCCAACGGCTGCCAGGCCATCGTGGACACCGGGACATCGCTCATCGCAGGGCCCACCAAGGAGGTCAAACAGCTGCAAAACTACATTGGTGCTGTGTCAGTGGATGGAGAGGTGAGAGGCAGGGTGGGGACATGAGGGGGCAAAGCTCTGGGCCCCCCACCCTGGCCGGAGTGACCTCCTGGCCGTGTTGCAGTACGCCGTGGAGTGCAGCAACCTCGACGCGATGCCTGACGTGACCTTCACCATCAACGGGCTCCCCTACACGCTGAGTGCCCAGGCTTACACCCTCATGGTATGGCTGTGGCACCACCCCCATGCCCTTCCCAGCAGCAGCTCCAGTGACAAAGGTGGCCCAGAGCCACCCTGGGAGCTGAGCTCTGTGTCCCAGCGGGTCACAAGCCCCACTGCCTCGTGCTCTGTCACCATTCCTGAGACGTTTCCACGGGCACGAGGCTCTCGGGCTCATTGCCAGCTCTGCCCTTCTCCTCCCCCAGGAGTACGGTGATGGTGTGGCCTTCTGCATCAGCGGCTTCCAGGGCAACGACATCGCCCCTCCAGCCGGACCCCTCTGGATTTTGGGCGACGTTTTTATCCGTCAGTTCTACTCCGTCTTTGACCGTGGCAACAACAGGGTGGGGTTGGCCCCTGCTGTCCCTTAGGCCTGGGGTATCCTGTGGGGTAGGAGGGGAACACAGCCACCAGGATGCTGCCCTCGGGCAGGCCAGGGGATGTTACTGCTGCACCAGTGTCTCCCCAAGGGGATGAAGACACCTGAAGAGCCCAGCAGAAGGTCAGTCCACGCCAGGATGCAATTTCACAGTGAACATAAAAACATCTCGGGCAGCTCCGTGATCTGCTCTGCAGATCCGGTGTTTTTTAAACGTGAGCCAATAAAACCTTTAAGAAACCAAAATCTGCCCCCCTTGCGTCATCAGGAGCCCAGTGGCGACCCTGTGGGTCTCATCTGGGTTGCACTGGGGTGTTAAATCCTCCTCCCCCAGGTCCTGCCCTCCTCCCTCGCTGACCCATGGCACTGTCAGGGCTGTGTTCAGTGTGACTGGAGCTTCCCTGCTCTGGAGGGAGCCTTGGCAGTGCAGGACCCAGATGGTCAACCTTGTGATCCTTAGCTGGGGTTTCCACGTGGGCAGAAAGAAGAGGATGCTTTGCCCATGTAGAGGTGGCTGTGGGCATGCCTGGCCATCCCGTGGGCCTGAGGCCACAGCTGTGGGAATGGGCAGGGCAGGGACTGAGGGAAGCCCTGGGAACGCACACCTCAGTCAACTGAGCTGCTGCTGGCAAACAAGAAAGGAACAAGGAGACTGGAAAGACCCTGGGGCTTTTCCTGTGCCCTAAAAACCGGTGATTTCCAGTGAAATTTGCTTTGATTCCCTGGAGGAACTTACAGAGACAACACGGTTCAATGAAAGAAAGGGCAAAGCATCTGCTGAGATCTGGGCAGGGTCTGTGGGGTCTGTGGAGGGGCTGCTGGGCATTGGGCTCCAAGGAGTTGCTGCAGCACATGTGACTCGCTGACAGCGCAAGGGATGTGTGAGAGGGCACGAGCAGCTCACGCGTGAGACACCCCAGGCACACACGGAGGGCAGCAAGAAAGGGAACCGTGGAAAAGGGTTATTTTTACCCAGGCCTTTGCTCCGTTTGCTGACACTTGAAACAAGGCCCTGCAGCTCTGACTGACTCCAGGGTGACAGGGTGTCCGTGGGCCACGCCAGGCTTCACGGCTGCTCCGTCATTCCCAGACCAGAGCAGCCTTCAGGGTTGGGTCTGAGAGCGCCGGAATACTCGGAGCTGGTTGTAAACTTGGCAGCTCAGCCTCGTGGTTTGCAATAAAAGAAGATATCTGCCTTACTCAGAAACACTGATTGTGCCACTGACCAGTGTGGGTTCTGTAACGTTTCCTGTGTTGACTTCACCTCAGCTCTGCTGCAGTCAAAGATAAGGTTCTGGGGCAGCTGGACAAAGGTCTCCTCTCCCTCTTCCACCTTAACTCTTAGCAGGCCAAGGTGCTGCTGGGCAGGGGGAGAGCATCCAGCTCCCCCAGCCTGACGAGGGACCACCCAGTGTCCCCAAACACCAGCCGGCTGTGAGACATAGCCTGGCCCAGACTCCATCAGGACTGCTCTGGTGCCATATGCCCTTGGGATCCCAGAGCATTCCTGACAGGTTTTGAGGGGGATGTTGCTCCAGAAAATACCAAGCATCCCAATAAGGAGTAACCCATTCCCTGCTGCCCCCCCAGGGAGGCTGAACAGCGTAAGGAACAGTTTCATCACTCGGATGCCTTTTGCTTTCTTCCCTTTCCCTCACTCTGCCAGCCCCATGAGCCTCACCACGGAGAACAGCCCGTGCTCTCCCTGGCCACACCAGCCTTTCCTCTGTCTGTGGCAGCCCCCAGCCTGTGTTTCGTGGTCTCCCAGCTGCGAGACCTTCCTCATAGTCACAGGGCACAAACCCCACGCCTTTTCCTCTGAATTGCTGACGTGGTGGAGCAGCCAAGACAGCACTGAAGCTGTCACTGCTGGAGCTGCTGAGCCACGTCTTGACCGCCACCTCCTCCACACCACTGCCTTCATCCAGGGCGAATCTCACCCCAGGACAGCGGGAGCTTTGGGAAAATCCTGTTTCTTGGGAAATCAAACACAAGTCAGAGCCGGCTCTGAGCCCAGGCTGGGCACCCTGATGGGCACAGCCCTCCTGCCCAAAAGCAGAAGTGGCTGAAGGCACCAGCTGTGGCGACGCAACCACAAACCCCATCTGCACCGGTGCAGAGAGACAGGGATCATCTGACTGGGTGAGCAACCCCTGTCCCACCAGGAATGAGGGTAGAAGTTGTTGAGGGGGAGGCTGAACAGTAAAGTCTCCCTGCAAGGACAAAGGTGAAGCAGCATGATGAAAATAGGCTGAAAACAGGGATTAGGAGAGACCTGCTGCAGGGAAACATCAGCCTTTTACCCACCACTGGTGAGAACTGGCTCAGGTTCTTCTGCCTCGTCCCAGCTCCTCCCAGTGCCTGCCCTCTGTGGGGAAAAACAGATTTTTCTGGCCAGACAGGTCCCAAAATTACACCTGGGGAAGAGGAGGAGGGTTTGTCCTGCTGAGTGCAGCAATCCTCCCTGAAATCCCATAAGGGATCACTATAGTGGGAAAAAAAAATTGACAAAAATGAGGGCAGCCAGTGGCAAAACAAAAAGCTGGTGGTCTTGGAGGGACCCCATGCCTGGGTCCCTTTCAGGCAACCACTGGTTCAGGGTGAGGGAGCCAGGAGGGTTCACAAGGTGGGGGGACACCACTCTGCCACTGCAAACCCCAAATCCTGCAGAATGTTTGGCAAAGGCTCAGGACCTGCCCTCGCATGTTGGGAAGCACAGGTCTGCCTTTGCAGCCAGAGCCAAGCAGGTTTTCCCACTCCAAAAAAACCATGGGCAGCAGGCTGGTGCTCGCAGAAACAAGCACCATGTTGCTCCATGGCGGCAGCTGAGATCCTAAAATCCCACTTGCCAGTTGAACACTTTCCCCTCCAGGGGATGCCACCAGGTCTGGTTAGTGGGGTTCTCATCCTGGCACGGTCCCCTCCTGTTGGGGTGCTTGGATATCTGGCTGGCTGTGGATGCAGGGTGGGAGCCCCTGTGGAATGGGAGTTACAGGGATACAGCACGGTATGGAAACACGCCTGTTTCCCACCCTGCCCCTCTCCTGCCTGCAAAACGAGGTGTAGACACAGAGAGCTCCCAGCCCCTTCAAACGGCTCCCATCCCCTCCTCACCTGCCACGATCCCCCCACTGTCCCCAGCTCCCAAATTCACTTATCCCACTCGGCACTTTCAGAGCTGCCTGAGCACAGTCCGGGATAACTCCTGGGATGCTGCCAGGAGCCCAGCCCTCGACAGCCCCCTCAGCAGGAAGGCAGATAAGGGGTCCCGCGGAGGCGGGTGAAAGGTACCGGGGGATTCCGAGCAAGAGGAGAGGCCAAAAGTCAATCCCAAACTCCAGCGGGCGAGGAGAACCTTGTTCTCCTTGCCCTGTCGGACCCCGAGCCGGGCAGAGCCCCGGATCAGAGGGGAACTCCACTGCCATCCCAACGCCCGCCCGCGGCTCCTCCGCCAGCCCCGGCAGGATCTCGGCCCCTTTTCTGCTGATGTCACGGAGCGGGGCCCCGCAGACGCCTTCTTTCCTGGATCCTCCTCTCTCGCCTCTCCCCTCCCTGGGCCGCCGGCTGGAGCGGAGCCCAGAGCCTCGGCTGCCCGGCCGACGGATGCCCCGGCAGGTGAGTGCGCTGCCCTCCGGCCCCTCTGGCCCTCGGGATGCAGCTGAGACTCCCCCTGGAGCAGGGGGGAAAAAAAGTCTGGAAAACTCCATTTTGAGTTTAAAACCATCTGGCCTCCCAGAAAGCTGGCAGAAGGACTGGAGAGCCTGTGCGTGCTGAGACACGAGACTCTGCCTGTGCCCAGGATGCTGCCCTCGGCCGGGTTGGGGTGGCAGAGGGGTGCAGGGGGGCTGCACAGCTGAGACCCGCCCTGGCAGGGGGGTGTTCCAAGGCGGAATGGCGAAGGGCTGGCCAACGCATCGGGGAAAAATGCAGGGAAGAGGCTGCCAGTGTTTCCATCTGTGCCTCGGCCGGCGCGGGGCCGGGCGATGCCGTGAGGATGGGGCTGCTGGGAGTGCCGGAGGATGCTCGTCCCGCCTGGGGAGGGGTTTTGCTGGAGGTGCTCAGGGCTCCCGGCCAGGCACAGAGCATGTGGGGACACCAGGACGTGCTGGGATGCAGCCCGAGGGGAGCCTCTCAGGGCGCTCCTGGGCTGGGATGCTCCCTGGGCTGCGCTCGGGGCACCCAAGGAATTCCACCAGGCCGGGGTCTTCTTTAACAAATGTAATTTTCTGCAGGATCCCCACTGTGCACTAGGTGTGTGTGCCAGGTTTAGGAGGAGGGAGGGATTGTGCTGGAGAAGGAGTGGGAGAGGCAGGGAAGTTGCTCCTAGCAGGTTTGAATGGAGATGAAGTGGCGTGTCTGGACGAGCAGCAGCACCTCGGGAGCCTGTCACGGGCAGTGACGTGGGCTGGGCTCGTCATGGGGGTTTCTGTCCCCACCGTGGCTGGGACACAAGTGCAGAGGGGTGGTGGCACAGCACAGACATGGCATGGACACAGTGCTGGCATGGCATGGACACAGTGCTGGAATGGCATGGACACGGTGCTGGCATGGCATGGACACAGGGCAGGCATGGTGATGTCCGTGGTCCCGGGACAGATGGATGGGAGCATGGAGAGGCCACAGGGAGCAGTGGCTGCTCCCACACCTCACCAGGAGCCAGTCCCATCCCCACAGCTGGCTGACTCCCTCTTGTCCCGCAGGGCCTGTCCATGGATGCCAGCAAGAAGGTGGATCTGAAGATAATCATCATCGGAGCTCTGGGGTAAGGAGCAGTGCCGCTGAGGGAGGGAAGCCCCCCATGTGGGCTGGGTTATGCAGCTCCTGCCCCTGCTGTGACTGACCCCCTGAGCAGTGCAAAGCCTCACCAGTGTCCCTTTCCCCCCTGCCAGCGTGGGCAAAACCTCCCTCCTGCACCAGTACGTGCACAAGACATTTTACGAGGATTATCGCACCACGCTGGGCGCCAGCATCCTGACCAAGGTCCTGGCGGTGGACAACACCCCCCTGAAGCTGCAGGTGAGCAGGGCTGGCACTGCCTGGGGTGCCCACCCTGATCCCACATGTGTCCCACAGTGTCCCACTGTCCCCAAACTCCTATCTGTGTCACGAGGTGAAGGGCTGGATTTGCAGCATCCACGAACTACAGTGGAATCCCACAGGAGCTTTGGGAGCCCAGCACTCCCTGAAGCTGGTCCCCTGAGCTTAACAGAGCACAGGGCTGCAGACACCCACCCTGCTTGTGCCTTGTGTCTGTAGCTGTGCCCTTCTCTGCCCTAGATCTGGGACACAGGGGGACAGGAGCGATTCCGGTCCATGGTGTCGACGTTCTACAAGGGCTCAGACGGCTGCATGCTGGCCTTCGACGTGACAGACAGGGAGTCCTTCGAGGCCCTGGACAACTGGAGAGATGACTTTCTGGAGAAGGTCATTCCAAGGGAGCAGGATTTCCCCATGGTCGTGCTGGGGAACAAAATAGACCTCTGTGATCGGCAGGTGAGGGTGGAGGAGAGAGAGAGGGATGAGTGGCCACCCCTGGAGGGATTTAAAAGTTGTGGGAATGTGGCACTTGGGGACGTGGTTTAGTGGTGGGCTTGGTAATGCTGTGTTAATGGAAGGACTGGATGATCTTAAACTCTTTTCCAACCTAAATGATTCCATGATTGGGATGCTTTAGTGTCCATTAGGCTTATGAGCACTGATCCTTCACCTGCAGAACCTGCCTTCTCCTGCCTTCTCATCCCTGTGAGGCAGTTCCATCCTCCCTTCCCACAGGTGCCCAAGGAAACCGCCTCAGCCTGGTGCAAGGAGAAAGATATCCCTTATTTTGAGGTCAGTGCCAAGAACAACATCAACGTGGCAGAGGCTTTCGAGACCCTGGCGAAGCAGGCGCTAACGACGGTGAGCATCCTCCTGCTCCAAGCCTGTGCTGGAGGCAGGAATTCGGGTGGGGAGCTGGATTCAACCAGGGCTGGTCTGACAGTCACCCCTAGCCCACCCTCTGGTGCAGAACAGCTCCTGCTGTAACGAGTAGGAGAGCCCTGGGAATGAGAAATGTTTGATTTCTTAAAATAGATCCTAAACCGGCTAGAAAGGAGCAAGAATTGTCTCCCTTCGCCCGTGGTGACAGGAACGGGGCGTGTGGCACCCACAGCGCGCCAGCACTGTCCTCTAGCGGCCATCTCACAGGGACACTCGTGTCCCCACGCCCTGCACAAGGCATCTTTTCCCCGGATTTTGCCTTAAATCCCAAATCAGGATTGAATCTCGGCGCACCACAGTCCATCAATCCGCTCAGGCTGGCTCTGAGCTGAGTCCACTCATCCTTTCTCTTCTCTGTTTTTTTTCCAGTACAAAGGGATTTTTGAGAGTTATTTAACTGACTCCATCAAACTCACTCCCTATGACAAGCCCAAGAAGAGCTGCTGCTGACCCCGGGCACTCCCCACACTGGACCCCACGATGCCCACGGCTGGAGCCCCTCCCAGGGGTCTGTGCCCTGTGCCCATCCCAGGACTGTCCAAGCCAGGGCACAGAAGGACCAGCACTGGACACAGCGGGGACAGCTCACTGTGCCCCCCAGGACTTGCTGCTTCCCACGGCTCCAGAGCTGCTCTCCTGAACCAGCAAATCCCAAATTGCTGCTGTGTCACGGTGGCCCCATCCCCCTGGATCTGCTGCCATCTGGCACCCGAGCAGGCAATGCCCCTGTGGTGACAGTGCCAGGGTCCCTGTGGTGACAGTGCCAGGGCCCCTGTGGTGATGGTGCCAGTGCTCCTGATGCCTTTTGAGAGACCACGACCTTGGCCCCAGAGCTGTCCCTTCTCACTGCATGGGCTGGTGGCCCCACAGTGCTCACGGGGGGGACATGTGGGGCTGGTGGCCTTACCACAGGGCTGAGAGCAGCTGGGTCCCCTCCTGGGATCAGCCATGGTGGAGGCAACTGTTCCGTGCCTCGTGCCTTGGTCTCCCCTGCCCTCATGCACATCGTCCATCAAACACCTTCCACTCCCACCCCACCCAGGGAGGATCCTCAGAAAAGCACTTTGTCAGGGATTCTTTTTATATATATATATATATATAATTCTAAAAAAAGGAAATTAAATATTTCATTTTTATTTACATTTATGTGTTATAAAATTCTCTGGTGGTCACGCAGCAGGAGGACGGGGTGGGGGCTGCGGATTCCTGTGCTCCAGACTTTCCTCCCTGAGCCTGTCCCTGCTTCTCACAGCTGGGGGGATGCATTTTGGGGCTGGATTTTATTTATTTTTTTCCCCTATTGCAAATTGAGGGTCAGGGGAGAGAGGAGACATCTGAAGCATTGTGTGAAGTGGGTGTGTAGGGGTGGCACGAGGCCCAACCGGGGTGGCTGTCAGCAGAGGGAGCCTGCTGGGAGCAGAGCCAGGCTCCTGCTTCCCTCCCTGCATCCATCCCACTGTGGATGGGGCACCTTGGAGGAGCTCTGTGGAGGCACAGGCTGGGGCTGGCCAGGGATGTGGCCGTGGACAAACCGTGCCACCTTCCCTGCAGCCTTGGGAGCCACATCCCTGGGGCTGCAGCATCCCAGTTGCTGGGCTGGGTGGACTCAGGCAGATCCCAAGCTGGGCACTCTGCCTGTTAGGTCACCAGAGGACCTCCTGCTCTCCCACCACCCTCTTCCAGCCCCATACACGCTGTCCACAGTGGTCCCACAGAGCTTCCCAGGGGCACAGGGGCTCACCAGACCCTCCCACGAGCAGCAGCCCCACTGTGGCTGTTCCTCATCAGCTGGGAACAGCCCCCACAGGTGGCAGGGGCAGGGCAGGGGGCTGGCGGTGTGTGCAGGGAGGATGGAACCTGAGGGAGGGCTCAGCACAGGGGGTGTGGGGGGCTGCAGAGCTGGGATCAGACTGCCCATCTCCCGCACGTAGAGACCTTCCCGCCCTCCTCCTTACGCAACACTCAGCCTGTTTATTTGGGCACCAGGCCGGGGAGAGGATTTGTCCCTTAATATCGGGAGGAGAGGGGCATTAACCACTTCACTCCCAAGCTCTGCTGACCCTCTCCCAGCTCTGTGCCTGCCCAGAGCCCTCCTCAGGCCCAGCACCACACGCCCCATCCTGGCACAGCTCCGGGCTGAGCATCTGCCAGCGCCTGGGCCAGGGCTGTTTGGACAACAGGGCTGTTCGTGTCAATAGCGATGTTGTTTCTAATCACACCCTCTCCCCAGAAGCTCTCAGTGCTGGCAAACAAAAACCTGATCTGTTTTAGCCCAGCAAGCAGCAATTTGGACGCCCAGAGCTGAGCAGGTCACACAGACTCACTCAGAGCAGCGGGCGCTCCCTCGGTCGGGGCTGAGCAGCCTCTGGCACAAGCCCAGGGCTGCTGTGAGTGCCGGGATTGGCAGGAGCTGGAGCCAGGGGGGAGCTGCAGGCTTGGCTTGGGGTCCAGCTGATGACTGGGCTGCCCTGGGGAGGGATGGCCAAGAGCACCCAGTTTTGCTGGGGACGGATCCAGGCACAGCTCGCTGCAGGGCCCTTGTTCAGCCTCTGAGGTGCTGGGCTTGAGCACCCAGCTCTTTGTGCATCCACAGAACATCATTCCAGACACAGGAGCTAAGACTTAAGGATATTACAACCTTGGGAGCTGGCAGGATCTCCAGTGGCATCACCACCCTGCAGAGATCCTGTTATGATCCACCCATCACGACACACCTTGCAGGGGTCCAGCACCATGATGGAGCTGACTGCAGCCATCCAGCCTCTCTCCTCCCTCCATCCCTCCTGGATAGGAGCACTGGCATGGCCCTGCCAGCCAGGCAGCGCTGGGACAGCCAGGAAGGCCAGGAGAGCGAGCAGGGTGGCACAGTGCCAGGCAGGATGCTGGCAGGAGCAGCCAGAGGTGCTAAGCTGGTAACACTATCCCGCGGCCGAAACTTGATAAAGGACAGGGGGAGGTTTGTAACACGTGGGATTAACAAGGTCAGCTCAAGATTTTCTCAGGGTGAAAATCAAAGGGAAAAATATTTACCTTGTGTGACTCAGTGAGTTCCTGTGCAGCCAGCAGTGCCCGCTCACCCCTGAGGAGAGCCCGGCAGAGGAACCAAACCTGAGCCTGAGCCCTGCACTGCTGCCTGTACAGGTTTTCATTCACCCACCCAAACTACTTAAATTAGTTAAAGAAGCCCAGCCTGAGGATGCTGAGCACAGAGTGGAGACCATCCCAACCCTTCTCTCAGTACTTGCAGAATTAGCACCCGACACTCCCCCCAAATCCCTGACTCCCAGCTGCAGTTTGCTGCTGAGGTTTAATTACCCTCGAGAGCTCTTCACCCTCTGCCATCCCATGTGTTCTAAAAGCACGGCATGTGCTCCGTGGTGTTACCTGGTGTAGTCAGGCTGAGCCCTGACTGCTTCCAGGGGTGGGAGCCTGGTTGGAGCGGGTGGATTCGCATCACAAATGCCCCTGTGCAGGGCTGACAGGCAGCGGCTCCTGCGCTGCTCCCAGCCTTCCACATCCCAGCCTTCCAGCCACAACGGGCAGCAGCGGCAAAGGATCATGGAATCAATAATTTGGCTTGGAAAAGCCCTCCAAGACCATCAAGTCCAAGCCCACCACTAAGACATGTCCCTAAGTGTCCATCCACCCCAGCCTGTGGCAACTGGCACTGGGTGGGATTAAATTCTTTTATTGAACGTGTGAGAACCAAAACAAAGCTGCAAAGCAAATTTTTAGAGATCCAGTTTTCCTGCTGGGAAGCAAGAAACCGCATCAACCCGATCTGGGACTGAGAGTAACGCAGTGGCTTCAGCCACTTCAAAGCACGCCTGATAAAAACCCCAGGGGGTTCAAAGTTCCAGGTGGCCTTTCAAAAGCTTCAGACATGGAAAACACGATCATGGCATCGCGCAAAGCCTTATCTGTGTCCTCTGGTGCCACCGGGCAGCGGGTGAGTAAACACGTTTGTAGGTCAGCAGAGGTTTGTGCAGCCTCCCCGGGCTGTGGTGGCAGCTCCTGCTCCCTCTCTCACCTGTAAGGAAGGGCTCGGTGTGGTGGCCTGGCTGAGGCACAGAGCAGCACACTGGCACCTCTGATGCTGTTCATTACCTGAATGACTCCTCTCTGCTGCCTCCATCATCACTCCACCTCCAGCGAGCAGCAGTGAGTGGGCGACACCGATGGGATTTGTGTGACTGTCCCTCTGCAGCTGCAGGGACACACAATTAGCCCCTGCCTGAAGCACAGCCAGGAGGGAGCAGACACTGTCCCCTCTCCCTCTGCCTCACTGTCCACCTCTTCATGGCAAATACTGATGCTTCTCCTTCCCACCCCTCACAGGGGAGGTGTTGTTAGGGTGTCCCATGTGTGGGGTCGTGTGGGGCCACAGGTCATGTGTGGCCACAGGGCCCTGCCTGTCCCCAGGGGCTGCAGCAGCGGGGCTGGGGGGACACGGCAGGACTGCGAGGCAGCACGTAGAGGGGATTAGGGGCTGTGGGCAGCCCTGCAGTCAGCTGAGGTCCCTGCTGAAGTCAGCAGGCAGCCTGAGCCTCGAGCTGTCCCTCCTGCACGGGGCAGCAGCAGAGAGCAGCCCACGGGGACGGGCAGGGTGGCTCCAGCCAGCCCGGCACAGGGAGGCACTGCTGTCCCACTTGGGCAATCATCTGCTCCGAGGGTTTTCCGCCCCTCTCTGCAATCCATGAGCACTTTGCAAAGCCCTGCAGAGATGCTCAGTGCTGCAGAGAGGATCCCATGTATGGGATAGACCCACAAGCAGGAATAGCAGCAGCAGAAGCACCCGGAGAAATCCGTGAACAACTGGTTCAACCAGGGTGGGACTGCTCCCTGTCACCAAGGCAGGACAGGGGTGCTCAAAAGGGGTGGATGTGCCCCTTGGCGCAGGGGTGGACATCACCTTTACCAGGGAGTTTGGGTGATATGTGCACCTGGAGATCAGGAGCAGCGTCAGCCTCCTGTGATGGGCACCTGCTGCCCAGTGAGGAGCTCCCTGCACCCACAATCCACAGATTTTGGGACCACACTCTGTCCTGCATCAACAAGCAGCCCCTCAGAGCACAAACAGACACGAACAATGGAGATCTGCAGCTTTTTGAGACTTCTGAGAAAGGCAAAGCCGGCTCTTCCATCTGAAATGAGGCTCCTGATCTCTGTCCAGGGGCGACAGGACCTCTACCTCACGTCAAACCTCCCCGAGCACTTCTGCAGGTATCGACCTCAGAGCCCAGAACAATGGGATGGTTCATTTCACAGCTTATCTCCCATCGCTGGGGTCGGAGCATTTGGGCCTTAATGAGTTTGGGCCTTAATGAGTTGCCCGAGGCCACACAGCAGCAGCAGCAGGGACTGTGATGGGACCACGTTCACTTTCCCCCCCAGGTCCCCCTGCTCCAACTTGCACAAAATGCTGGTGGAGAGGAGGGAGAAGCCACACGTTCTCCCAAACTCCCCCCCACACCTTCTCACATTTTTTTTTTTTTAAGATTCCAGTCTTTTTTTTTTTTTTTTTTTTTAAAACTGGAAAACCCCCCTTTACTAGAAGCCAGTCATTTGAGTGAAAAAGCCTCATTTTGGTCGACTCTCCTAATTCAGAGTGGGCAGAAAGCCTTGAGGGGTGGGGGGAGGCAGCTCCCAGAGCCAGCCCCCAGCCTGGATTCCAGGAGAGCGGGATATTCCACATGGCAGCCCATGGGCTGGGGCCCCCCAAGGCTGTGGGGCTGCTCCAAGGCCAGGAATTTTTGATGGACTGCGTGTTCTGGGGCTGCTCCCACCCAGCCCAAGGAGCTGCTGAGCACTGCCTGTGTTCCTGGGCCTTGGGCAGACCTTGCTGGGCGCTTGTGTGTTCCCCTGGAGGAGGTGGATATCTTCCACCTATTTTACAAATAAGATAACAGCCCTTGCTCAAGGTGACTGGAGCTGGCACAAGGGCTGTCCAGGGAGCCCAGCTGAGGACAGGTAGCCTGGTGCTGCTCCATGGTGCTCTCCAGGGGCTGCCTCTGTGCTGGGCAGGGTCTT